ATCATCGGTGCATTCACCCTCACTCTGATCGGGGCGAATGCCCGATGGCACCGATGATAACACGATGCCCTCACGATGGCCTTACGAAGGGCACAATTGACACACGAATTCAACACGAAAATGAACCTTCTCAAGGTCCTTCGGCAATTTTTTGGCATGCCAAAGATTTTGCCACCGCTCACGAAGTTGCTGCCGGAGCCTGAGAAACTCCACCGGCGGTCATACGAAGGCTTAAGATGCCCTCACGAATGGCCCGATGTTGCTATGATCACAGCCGAATTTGAACATTTCCTTTATCGTGTGTCATCGGGTTGTTTTTATTGCACAACAAAATCATGTAAACATATTATGTAAATAACCCAATTTGTGTTCTGTGAAACTGAAAAGGATATAATATATTATTTTGAAGGACAGTTGACAGGAAGTTGTTGTTGCTATGGAAACAACAACATTACGGAGAAAACGTAATATTTTCTACATATAACGACGGATAAAGTAAAGAACAAAGTCTGAAGATATCAGTACAGTATCATAGTACTGTAACATAATTGTTTTTGGTACTTTCGTTGCAGTTGTATGTCTTAAATGTAATGTAAATGTTGCCTTCGTGTGTGGTTCGGGCCATCTTCGTACGAAATTCACAATTCCATATTCGTGTGTCCATCGAGTGTCAACTTCGGGACAGTGTGACAGGGGCTATACTGTTTAATCTGCCATATTTTATTATTTCATGTTGAGATTCGTACTTCTTATCCAAGCTTTGGCTGTTCTGTCGGACGTGTGTTTGAATCTCACACATCGCTCCTGACTTTTAAATTCATTATTTATATGTCTTGCTCGCCAAGCATGATGTAGAGGCGTGCGCATGCTAAACTTTGATGATAACTGATATTAATTGTTTCCCACTCGTGTGCAGATTTCACGCTGAGACATTAGAGGTTGTGCTGTTTTGATATGATGTCTTGAGGGTGGAGTCTTTCTGTGTTTGAACTCTTTGATGTTATCTTTGATGCCCACGCCTTTACTTTACTTCCTGGAAGCATTAAGTCTCCATTTGATGTGCAGAGAGCGTAATCCTGGTGGCTGAAGAACAGCAGGGTGTGTGGTTAAACCCTCACCCCTCTGATAGCCTCTCTGTTAGAAGAGTTTGTTCTCTAATAACCTTTCCTTGCCACTGTTGTGTTGCTTTGATCAGCCGTGGTGTTCCTCAGGGATCTGACTTTGATCCCTGCTCGTATTACAACTTTTACGCAAGCTGCCATGTTACCCTTTACATGTACGAAGCAAATTGTTTCTCCCTGTTGTTGCCATAGAGATGCAAAGGAGTTCTCTCAAAAGTCTTCAATATTATTTTTTTTCTATTAAAATTTTTATTACATTTTTCACATTTTATACATAAATGCAGAACAAACAATTATTCTCTCACACACAAATGCCTGCATACACCCGCGCACACATTCATATATACATCAACGTAAAGCATGTAGATACACATTTACAACAAATGCATCATATACACGCACATGTACATTACACATATACAAATATACTTCCTGTCCCTCCCTAGGACAGTGTCCCTTTGATATAGGCCAAGAAGATGTGCCACACTCCATTAGATTTGCTTGGGACATTATTTACCCTGGCGATCATAATTTCAACGGCTGCAGTCTCTGTCATGAGTTTAAGCCATTCTGTAAACTCTTGCTTACAGTGTGTGGGCTCTTCCAGTTGCACAGAATAAGCCTGGCAGCTACAATAAAACCTGTTAAAGTCAGTCTAAGTCCTGCTTTAGTCAGGCCTGGTGGCACAAGAGATTTGTCCCCCAGCGAACAGAGCTGTGGCGATTCTGGTAGAGGTTTTCTGAGCCACCCTTCAAGATTTTTTAATACCACCTTCCAAAAAGGCAGTACCCTTGGGCAATCCCATAGACTCTAGAGCAGTGGTTCCCAACCTGGGGGGTCGCCAGGCCTCAGATGATTTGAGGCCAAATATCATATTTAGACTTTTTTAAAAAAAAAAATATTATAAATGTACATATAATTGTAACCCAATACATGATTGTCACTAAAAGCCTTGTCTCTACATTACAATATAAAAAATTATTGATTAATTAATTTTAATAAAAATTCAAGTTAGTATTAAAGGCATAAAAAGACAGAAATGTATAATTCTTTCTATAGAAAAGTTTCTTCTGCCCGTAAAGTGTCCAAGCCGGGCTTTTCTGGATAAGCGCATTTTTAAAACATAGTCATTGTCCATGCCGGTTTCAGTTGGATTATTTGTCAGTTGCTCCGATCGGATCGGTCTCCTCCATTTTGTAGATTATTTACGACTTTTGAATCCACATAAACACATCGGCAAAATCCGGCTTACTTTGAGCATGTGTTTTAAACAGTTTAATCCCGTTGTGAATTGTTTTCCACTTGCGCCGTCCTTTAATTTCTTCATACAGCGGGAATCCAAATGAATTCATCCTGAGTCCAATAACCATCAAAGTCACTCCAATAGTGCTCCTTAATTACGCTTTCATCCTCCTTTAACAAAATACTTCACATTCATCCAGTTTGTGACAGTAGTTGTAGCATTTTTGAGACTGTTAAACTTTAATTACCGCTATTGTGCTCCCCCCCCCCCCCCCCCCCCTTGTGTGTGTGTGGGGGGGGGGCGCAACTTCCAACAGGAGTCATTTGGGGGGGCTCTTGGGAAAAAAGGTTGGGAACCCCTGCTCTAGAGCATGAAGAGATGTGCCCATTTCTCTATTACATTTCCGAAAAAGTCTTCAATATTAATAATATAAAACATTTCTACAATATAACAGTAGATTTGGCATACTTCCAAGGCCGTAGAGAAGGATGAAATATCAAGACATCTGATATCTAAATAAGAAATGTCAACGATGCAAGCATACAGTATATAGAACAAAACCTAAGGAAAGAATCAACCATGAGTCCAGTAGATAATTACAGACAGCGACATTCAACCACCTAGCTCAAAATGATCTTCTGTGGGGTGCTAAAGTCTAGCTTAAGCTAACATTTGCACTTTGTAGAAATCCCCATGACATGTTGAGAAGTTTATCCTTTGCCTGGAGGTATTAACCGTCCTTATTATACTCTTTACATTTTCAGTAGAGGGCGTCTCAATGATATTCAGTCCCACCGGTGAGGCTAAATGTTTCCTTTGGGTTACCCGAATTAAGATGTAAATTGTATTTGAAAAGTAAAAAGATGAAGAGCTCTTGTGTTCTCTTCTTGTGGCGCCACCTACTGCTTATCTCAATAAACCCACCCCCTTTTTTTCACTGATTACCGTGTATTAAAATGACATGACAAACAATCCACTAATAACTACATAACAATACTAGACACAAATATACTTTTATTACATTTCCTTTAGATAGTGTTCTACGATATCCGGTTAAAATGTGTCCTACGTTTGGACGGTGAAACCTGGCTAGTGTGTTACTAGTAGAGGAACTAAGGCTCCTCATATCCTATGTACCTCTGAAAATAATGATCCGAATGTCACACAATTTGGACTAGATGTTCACAGAGAGGCAAAACATACAATAAAGCAAATATAATATCAATACCTTTTACCATCTTTCTAATATTAACACTTAAATACATGAATCATAGGCAGAAATGTTATTTATACAACCATCCGTTTCATAAACTAGAGTAGACATATTAAAGTAATGAAAAAACATGGTTGTGCTTTGCTCTAGCTCGGGTAGGGGTATCTCGAAAGCCTTTTTGGGGGGGTTGTTCCTCTACTCATACCCCTATAAATGATTATTCAAAGATTGGAAATTCAAAGAAAATAATTCTGTTTTCTAGTCATTTAAAGTTTCCTGGATTTTAATACCTACATTTTGAACAATGACTTTCGGTAGATTTAACGAGGATGAAATATTATACTTTTCGTTGTGTTGTGTCGGAGGAAATGTTCAGGCAAGTTTTATATCCTGCGTTTCTTTGCTGGTTCAATAATTCATTCGAGTCAGAGAAAGATAGAGGGGGCCTGGAGGAGAGTCTAACAGTGATGTATTGGTGTGAAAAGCTGCTGCTGCTGCTGAACAATAGCAAGTTGTCAGCTTCAGACTCTGAGAGCAAAGAGCTGCCAAGTCTGTGCTCTGAACACAATAAGACTTTCTCTTTGTGATCTTTGCAGAAGTGGGAGGTTGTCTGAAGTAAGCAACAACATGTGACCGTGTTCATGGAGAGATGTTGAATGCAGAGTGTGATCTGTTCTTGCTGAAGTATTAAACACTAAAGTGAGCATATGCTGCATGCCATCCACTCATCCAGCGGCGTCAGATGGACAGCTGATGAAACCTTTGTCCCCGGTTCAGTTTTCCACCTTGTTGCCTCATTGCTGTTTCATCGTCGTGTCACTTCACGAGAAGAGAGTTGACAGCGTGGAGCTTCTGGGGGAGCAGAGGTGAGGGGGGGGATCTGCTGTAGATGACAGGAGGAGGAGAATGAAGAACTAAAGAGAGAGGAAACATTCTGACCTGTCAACACTCAGAGAAATAAATGAAAGGCTGGGACAAAAATCCGACCTCTGCAGCTCATCCAGAATGTTGTGTCTTCCTGGTCGAATGCACTTATTGTAAGTCGCTTTGGATAAAAGCGTCAGCTAAATACAATGTAATGTAATAATGTAACAAAGAGGACAGACACTGGGGGATTTGTTCTCTCAGTGCTAGCTTTGATTCCTATAGTGCAGGGGTATTCAACTCAAATTCAACGAGGTCCGCCTGTTGCCGACCCCTGCTGCATGACACTGAATGCTGATGATATTAGTCACATAGTCATTTTAGACATTTGATATCTCCACAGAGATACAAATGAGTGCTTCAGGCTGCCCTTGTGAACCCTGAATCTTCTATCAGCTGAACGTGGGTGGGATCATGATGTTTGGTGAAATGATGGACAGCTCCGAGATGTTTTGGAGGATGGATGGATGTTTATTCAGTGTGCTTCTGTGTTTCTCAGGAGGCACAGCGTCCAGGCAGAAGGGCTTCCGGGGTTGTATCCGCTCCCTGCAGCTGAACGGCGTCCCCCTGGACCTGGAGGAGCGGGCGGAGATCACCCCCGGGGTCCAGCCCGGCTGCCCGGGTCACTGCAGCAGCTACGGCTCGCTCTGCCAGAACCAGGGCCGCTGTGTGGAGAGAGCCAGCGGCTTCCACTGCGACTGCGACCTGTCGGCGCACACTGGAGCCTTCTGCCGCACTGGTACACACACGCATATGTTTTCCTGTGGCTGGTGAAGCCACTCCACCAGCTACGTTACAGAAAACCATATAAGGTTCTGCAGGTTACATAAGTCAAGGGAATGAAACTGTTGTCTTCCTGTCACTGTGCAACGTTTGTCCTGGTTTGACTGTTTACAACGCATCATCACACAAATCTGTGTTTTGAGTCAGTGTTATCAAAGAGTTGTTCATGTCAAAGTCAGGTCTGAAACAGACAACAGAACATAACAGCACCAGGTGCTATATATTTATATAAACCACACATCATTCAATGACATTAGTGATTATTTTTCTTCCAGAGAACTCTATCCATGTTATTTTGTTTGCCAATTAGATCAAATAAGATGTTATACCGACATACATGTTTTGGAAACGGGTGCGTGTTGACCCGAGGACAACAGGAAGATTCAAGCATGGAGAAAAAAGTATTTGACATTGAAAGTTGGATTTTTGGAGTTGGTTTGCCTTTAACGTTGCCCACTGCCTGGACCTCTCTCTAGTAGACCTGTCCAACCACTTTACAACATGTCATTTTCCATCCCCTTTCTCTGCTTTGCAATTCCTGCATTCACTCCTGATTCATCTCAGCAGCTGAGGTTGAGTCTGTTTTGATGTCTTGTAGTTCCCGTAGCAAACGAGTCTCTGCAGAATATGTTCTGAACAGAGCCTTGAGCTTCTGTAAATATGACTTCTAATAATCATGTTAGACAATAGGCGGTTGAAACAAGATTCATTCCCTTCAAGCACATTCAGAAATACAAATAAAATGTCTGGGTGTTTATCTGCTGTTGTGTAAAGGATAAGGATCTATTACTATACTCTACATTCATCATATACAGTCTGTTTTAGAGCTTTTCAAATAACGATTTAACTTGAATCAAAGCCCCAGTGGCCAGATGGTCTCCATGATTCAGATCCTGTATATTCTATATCTCTTTCCTCAGAGTTGTCGGCCAGCTTCCAGTCGGGCACGTCGCTGCGCTACACCTTCAAGGAGCCGTACGAGTTGAGCAGGAACAGCAGCGCCCTGCCGTCCTCCATCTACTCGGAGCTGACGCTGAGAGGAGAGAACGTCTCGCTGACCTTCAGGACCAATCAGAGCCCGGCTCTGCTGCTCTACGTCAGCTCCTACTACACCCAGTACCTGGCCCTGCTCATCAACAAGCACGGTGAGGGGCCGCTCTCATTTTCAAGGAGCTTGTGATTGGCTCTCAAAGCTCAACATAGAGAGTCTTCAATGATCTCTCTTCCTTCCTGAGTTGCCTCATCCCATGCCTCTTATTTTCTTCTCCTTTGAGGGTTTCATTTATTTACTTTAGAACGAGGTTATTCAAACTCATATTCCTCACATCTCATTTTCCTCCCGTCTGCTTTGCCTCGTTATTCTCTGTTTCTCTTGTCTTTTTTTATCCACATTTTTCAAACCTCTCGTCTATTCATGAAATGTTCTCCTTTTCCAATTCCCGTCTGCATCTCCTCCGAGCCTCTCGTCTAACTTCTCCTCCTCTGGTTCTTCCTCTCTCCTCTTCCTCCTCTGCAGTTGTACCAGATCAGGCTCTGTCAGATCTTTCCTCTCTCTGGTTTCACCCCGTCAGACTCGACTGCCTTTTAATCCGTGCAGCTGATGCTTTGTCTCAAACTGAAACTCCTCTCATACTGAGGGATGAAAGTGTTATATTCTGCTAATGGGTGGCAGAAAACTTGCTGATTTGTTTGACAAACTTCGTTGTTAAATAATTATGTTGTGAGTTTGGCTTTTAGGATTAGTAGGAGCCACTTCATTTGAAATTCCTTTTAACGAGAGCCCGACAGAGCTGGCACTTTGCTGCATGATTGGCAGTAAATTGATTTGTTCTGGCGTTAATGAGAGGAAGCTGATGGACAGCGTGGCGTTAAGGCTTCCTGCTGACCGTGGAGTCGTCAGTTAAATGCACTTAAACTGAAAAGACAAATTAAATCCCTGAGAGCTTTCTCTCATTCGCTCTGAGACGCCTCATTTCTTTTTACCCTCAACTGCAATCGCCCCTTCAGTCCAAACACAACGCCTCTACTGAAGGCACCTTTTGTCTGCCGCTCCTCCTGCTATAACTACATTCTCCTTCAAATGAAACTGTTTATGTATGCTACTAAAGCACATGCTGTATAAATAAATCAAATGAAGGACACAATGTAACGTCTTATCGCTCCTTTTCTTAAATCTGCACTTAATACTTTGATATTAGGAGATTTCATTAGATTAGCTGTGGTATTGAGTCGTTATCCTTTTGATACAGAAATCCTTTTTTTTAAATAATCAGATTTATCTTTGAAGGATTAAGTGTGTTTACCCTGAGAGCCAAGATTACAGGACATGGCGAGGCCATTTTCAGGAAAACAAAATATCCACCTTTTGAAATAATGGTATTTAAAATGTTCATCTGTCTGTTTGTAAGGTCGTTTGATTTATTGTGAGAACTTTAATGTAACCCTATATTTGTGTGTGTGTGTGTGTGTGTGTGTGTGTGTGTGTGTGTGTGTGTGTGTGTGTGTGTGTGTGTGTGTGTGTGTGTGTGTGTGTGTGTGTGTGTGTGTGTGTGTGTGTGTGTGTGTGTGTGTGTGTGTGTGTGTGTGTGTGTGTGTGTGTGTGTGTGTGTGTGTGTGTGTGTGTGTGTGTGTGTGTGTGTGTGTGTGTGTGTGTGTGTGTGTGTGTGTGTGTGTGTGTGTGTGTAGATACGTTGGAGGTGAGGTACAAGCTGGACAGCAGCAGAGACGCTGAGGTGTTGAAGAGCAAAGTGAAGAGTCTGGCAGACGGAGAACTACACACCGTCACCCTCAGGAGACTGACTGACTCTGTGTCTCTGCAGGTAAAATAACTACTAACTAAAGTTGTCAAATAAATGTAGAGGAGTAAAAATGACAATATATGCTTCCCAATTGGAGTCGACTAAAGTCAAAGTCAACTTTAATGTCAGACAGGGAGATTGAAACGCTACCCTGATACATAAGGACATTCTTAGCCATTATAACCTCTCGTGGGAATGCATCTGTTATACACATGGTTAAATCAAGCACCCCGGCACGTCCACTTCACTCTGCATCGCATCGCCACTCCCTCGTTGCGATGGGATCCAGTTACACCTGAACAAAAACACTCCTGTTTGCTACCCTGGCTTCAAAATGGTGGAAGGAGCTCCCTTATTGGTATCAGGACAGCAGAAAGGCTACATATCTTCCGTCGCAAACTGAAAATGCACCTGATTCCACTGCACCTTGGCCATTAAACCACACACACACACACACACACACACACACACACACACACACACACACACACACACACACACACTCACTAAAAATCCTCTACTTATGGGTGCACACTGGACTTAGTTGTTTTCAAATACGTAAATGAACGCTTTTACAGCTACATTATAACGTGTTATAAACCCAAATCTGTTTGGTCTTAAGCCTGTTTTACTTTTCTTTCAATGTACACCAAAATACTGAGTGTTGGAGTACAGGTTTAAAATGAGGCACCGATCTCAAGGGCAGATGCAATGACGCTCACACAGACGCACACACAGGCAATCCCTTTCCTCCCTGGGTGTGTTATTGTGATAATGGTCTATATGATAAAGCCCCCGTCAGCGCTTGGCTGTCCAGCATGCAGCTACACGGGGCAGCACCGAACAATAAAACGGCTCCAGGTGAAATATGAAGCATTAATATCATATCTGGATCTACTGAATGTTATCTTGTTAACAACAGCTTCAGATGATGTATGAGGTTAACTTCATCCAACCAGCTGCCAGCATGCTGTATAATTATCACCCTTAATCGAAATACAAGGTGACCTCTCCTTGAAAGGACTCTTGATTCAGTGGAGTGAGGCTCCTATGTTCATAATATGAGCTGCATCTGCATGGTGTCAGTTTCCATCATCATGACTCATATCTGAAAACCTACTCTGTGGAAATACGGTGGCAGTTTAGACTGTAGGAAGATATCTCAACAACTTGAAACAATATATTGAATTATATTAGGGTGTTTTTTAGTCGCCAGATCATCAATCTTAATATTTGTTTGTACGCTTCCCATTGCCATCTTTAGAGCAAACTTAAAATCTTTGCATGTAAGACATCTTTGGCTAGGAGTAACCAAAGTTAGACATTTTAAAATTCTAATTTGGAAAAACAATGATCCTCTTTCAGATCGACCAGAACCCCAGAGAAGACTTCAACCTGACATCAGACGGAGAATTCAACGGCATCAAGTCGCTGGTGCTGGGCAGAGTGCACGGTAAGAGAGAGGCAGAGTAAAAGCAGAGGCCTGTTTAATTAGAGAGCACTTTAGAACTGATGTGACGCTCAGTCCAGGAATATTTGGGGGAATAAATGCAAATGATATAATTCAAAGAAGTCTGAGGCAAAATATAAGAGAGGTTTTTATTTTGCTTCATAAGAGTTTGAGAAGTTGATTTCAGAAGATCACAGCTGCTGCAGGACTTCTTCTGCTGTCTCTCATCTCCAATACAACACATAGTTTACTGCAAGGTAGAAATGTGTCTGTGAAGAAACATCTTCATCAACGTTGTGCATGGCCAACTTTGTAATCACTGGTTTGAGCTTCCTGCAGTTATAAATACTCAGAATTTAGTTTTGTATGCAGCGCTTTCAGGGAACTCTGCGCATGAGTTGTCAAGTTGGAGAAGATGTTCCTTCCTTTGCATGTGTTTAGGGATGGGTATCGTTTGAAATGTATCGATTCGATTCCGGTTCTTATCGATTCCCCGTTCCGATTCCAAAATTGTAAAAGAAAGAGGTCAAACGTTTAGATAGTAAAAATATCTTTATTCTTTTAAGCTTTAACTGACATTTTTACAAATAAAAAATATACATGCAATATAAATGTATTGCACAATAGCTGTGCTTTACTTTAACTGAGCTATGCCTGTGGCAAGCTGTTAACAGGCATTACACTGTGCCTTGTCTTTTTATTTTTTAGTGTAGTGGAGCCTCACTTCAGAGCGTTTACCGCGACCCATCTTTGGTGTTATGAAGTGACTGAGCTCGTGAACTGTCTACGGGAGGGCGGGGGAAGCCTCGCTGCGGGGAAACTCTGGACCTCTGTCAGCGCAACTTACATGATGCCGTTTAAAGGGTGGTGCCGGCTGTCAGCGAACCGACCCGCTGACGACCGGCCGTTCTGTGATTCTCCAGAACACACAGACGGCCAGTCCGCCCTTACCCTGTATTCCACCGGGTCGCCGCGGCGCAGACGGACCCGGTGGAATACAGGGTCTACCGCGTTTAGGAACCGTTAAGCAGAACCAAAATTGTGTATTTTGTATGGGTACCCGGTACCCGGCATTTTCTTATCGGTTCTCATCTGGAACCAAGTTTCGGTTCCCAACCCTAGTTTTGGCACATTGGTGTTTTTTTTATTTGCATAGTTTCTGGAAGGGCAGCGCGTTTTCTCCCAATGGAAAGGGTTGGGGCATTGTAGCGCATTTTAACCTCTCAGCCACCGTACATACCAGTGACTATTCCACAACACTTTTGTTACAGTCCCACACACCAAATATCCTACAAATTATTAGATATATTTTATATTTTTGGTTGTAAAGCATGTCGTAACTCAGCTCGGTGTTTTAACCCCGTCATGTCAGCGTGTGAGCGGTCCGCCCCTCTGTCACACCACAGGAGGCTTAGAGTCAGATTAGCATCAGAACAGCTGCAGGAAAGTGGATCTTCTGTCGTTTACTGGCAGCCCGTCATCCGTCATCCTAACTAATCGACCCGGAAGGAATACAGAGAGTCAGAGAGGTGGCGGAGTGAAGAGTGTTTCCACTGAGAGCGTCTTACAGGCTGCGGTAATGCTTCCTGCTGCTCTCATCAACATGCAGATGTGTCACCTCTCAGTCATGTGACCAGACATTGATGCAGCTGCTGACAGCGCTAATGTGGGCTTCACAGCTGCTGTTTACACTGCTGTGAGGGAGAGGAGGTGAATGATGAACAGATCTGAGTCAATAAAGTGAACAGATAGAGGTGAGGGTGCACATCTGTCTCCAGGAGTGATGGATGCCCACTGGAAGCTGAAGCATTCACTGTAATGTGTGTGTGTGTGTGTGTGTGTGTGTGTGTGTGTGTGTGTGTGTGTGTGTGTGTGTGTGTGTGTGTGTGTGTGTGTGTGTGTGTGTGTGTGTGTGTGTGTGTGTGTGTGTGTGTGTGTGTGTGTGTGTGTGTGTGTGTGTGTGTGTGTGTGTGTGTGTGTGTGTGTGTGTGTGTGGCCTAGCATTACTATACTTGTGGGGACCTAAATCTGTTTACACAGTCACGTGTGGACTCGCCTCCCTTATGGGGACAAATTGGAGGTCCCCATGAGGGGCATCATTAATTTTAGGGTGAAGACTTGGTTAGGGTTAGGGTAAGGTTAAGGGTTAGGCATGTGTTGGTTATGGTTAAGGTTAGGGTAAATCTCCAAGAAATGCATGTAAGTCAATGTAATGTCCCCTGAAGTGATGTATACATGGTATGTGTGTGTGTGTGTGTGTGTGTGTGTGTGTGTGTGTGTGTGTGTGTGTGTGTGTGTGTGTGTGTGTGTGTGTGTGTGTGTGTGTGTGTGTGTGTGTGTGTGTGTGTGTGTGTGTGTGTGTGTGTGTGTGTGCGTGCGCTCATCATTAGAGTCAATAAGCTCCCTGCTCTGATAACAGGGAGAGGTGAAGCAGAGTCGATGAACCTGTCAGTCTGTCGTGTTTTTATTGAACGAGTCGTCCCTCCAGTTCAGAGATTAAAGCCTCCAAGCGAAAGGTTAAAAGTGCAGTCATTAGCACGGATAAATAAAATGTTAACTTTAACACTCGAGGGGTCCAGTTAGTTAACCTGTGCTCTGAGAAATAACACAAAAAAACGTTCATCATTCAAATGTTACTTTTCTGTTAATTAAACAATAATCTACCCGTAGAAATATATCCAGTTGTTAATGATTAAATGTTTGTTGTGATATCAATTACCTTCATTAATAATTGACAATGTAAGCTAACATTTCCAGCAATTATCTTTTATGCAGCATCAATACAAATACACCATTCTATGTTTTTTTAATGTACACATTATTTGCATATTTATTGTAATATAATTTATCTGAAATTGAGCAACTAAAGCAATCAAATTAACCCTGGAGTAAATAAAGTATTCTGAGTATCTCAAAAATGTAATACAGGTTGCTGCACTTGTATTAGGAATAGTTTCGTAACTAACGTAATTCGTTATGACTCAAAGTTATCTTTTAATTGTTGTTAAAAGTTTTGTAACTATTCCATTTCATAATCATTGTGGACTTACACTAACTAACTTAAGATTCTATCTCATGATACCTTAATTACAAAGCTATATTCAGCACCTATAAAACCACAATGCATTGGTTTTATGCTTTGATTTATGTACTATTTATTTTTATTTTTGGCAAGCATTTTGTTTATTTAGAACAGAATACCTGATAGCTTTGTCCCCTGTTTGCAGTCCCTTCATAATACGCCTAGATGTGTTGAGGGCCGCATCGTTATGAAACCTGTGAAGTTTTGTTCCGTTTGAAGCATGTTAACCGGAGTTATGAAAAAACCGTGTTTCATGACGGGTGATCTGTCGCCATGGCAACGAAATTTGATGACACCCCATAATATGCTTAGATGTGTTGAGGGCCGCATCGTTATCAAACCTGTGAAGTTTTGGGCAGTTTGGAGCATGTTAACTGGAGTTATGAGAGAACCGTGTTTCACACCGTGGTTTTTTCACATTTTACAAATACCTCTTGGCAAGAAAGTGAATAAGCATATTTGTCACGTGGTTCTGAAAAAGAACGAAACAAATTGAGTTGTTTTTAAAAACATTTGGGATTCACTCGTGCAAAGACAATGATTCCTTGTTCCAGAGCTGGTTTGAACTGTCAATAGGAAACACATTGCAAAAAAAGGAATACAAATAAAATACGAAATCTTGTCAGAAAACACAGCAGTAATAATAATAATATCTTTAATTGATATAGCGCCTTTCATCAACCCAAGGTCGCTTAACAAAGAAACATATAAGGACAAGACATAAAACAGGTGGCAGAAATGGAAGTGTTACAGTACTCTTTTATCCTTCCCTCTCCAGACTCTGAGGATCTGGATCCAGATCTGTCCAGGTTGGCGTCTCTGGGTTTCTCCGGCTGTCTCTCGGTGGTCCGCTTTAACTCCATCAGCCCTCTGAAAGCTGCTCTGCTGCACCCGGACAGCAGCCCCGTCACCATCTCCGGACCTTTACTGCAGTCCAGCTGCGGCTCCTCGGCTGCAGCCAATCCCTACGCAGCAGAGAACACACACCACCTGTCAGGTAGGAGAGGACCACGTGGTTAGGTTCATTTAGTTTTACTGGACACGTGCAAGATTGTTGGATTCATTCAGTGTACTATTTGTTGTTTTCAAGTTTGGCTTCCATTAGTGCAATTGGGAAAGAGATACAAAGGTTTATATTGTCCGTTTACATTTCGATTGCTTATTATTACATGTCTCTTCGCTGACTATTTCATCCAGAGTGAATTACATACACTTTAAAACCATTGACATGCATCTAGGAGAAAAGTAGGGTTCAGTAATCTGCCCAAGGACACTTTGACATTTTGCCGTGGGTAGAGATCGAACATCCAGCTGTTATGAAGCACCATTAGAAGTCACTTGGACACATGTTTCAGTCCATAATAATATCCTGTAACTTTTATTCTTGGCCTCTTCCGACTCCCGAAGCTGCTCAGCTGCTGATTGCCCCACTGTTTATCTGCTGAGTCACTGCAACTCGGAGGGAAAGTTTACTTTAATACACAACAGGGGCTCAACAGTGACCTTCTGCTCATTGCAAAACTTAATTGGGCAATGGCTGTAAAGTTGGTTGATCCAAAAAAAATCCACATAATGAATGCAAGAATAAATGCATCCCTCGAGTCACCTGACTCACAGCAAATAGATTAAAACACAGAGGATATTTCTTATTATTTTAAAGGTCACTGCTCTTGTCTTTTCCCAAAAGCCCAATCATTAATTGCTGACTTTCTTTTAGCACCGACAACAGCTTTTTAGCGCTCTCTATCAGTCCTTTTCCCCACCTTTTGCCGAAGGAGGCTGAAAGTTGGCACGGAGGACGGCTCATGGTTGTGTGTGCTTGAATTCATGATTGTGTCATATGAGACGATATGATGCCATGTTGTTGGAACAATCTGACATTTTTCTTGCATCACAGCAGCTCCGTTTGTGACATCAACAAGGGCAAATACCAAAACACTAAAACAAGGAAACAGACTTTTAACATAACATTATTTGATAGACTCTGCATTCAGAGGATTTAATTCACACCTAATAGTCCGCTCTCTGGTGCGCACCAGACGACAGTTCGTTCCATTGTTTCATTTTTCAGAAGGTTCGGTTTGCGTTCACACGGCAAAACTCAAACGGACTATAAACTTTAAACACAAGTCATGTGCACGGAAATGCAGTTCAACCATTGGTCAGACATTAAGGGGGTAAAAACGCAAATCCCGGCAATTTCTACCGGAGCCTCCGCCATGGAGCATCGGCACTTTCGGCAGGTTATTCTCATGCTGCTGTTAATCTGGAGATCAACAGACACTAGCGGCCCGCGCATATGATTATATAATCAGACAACGTCCGTTAAAAAACATGATAACATAATGAGAGACGTTCTGCAGTAAGGAGGAGGTTTCACCGACGACAGGTGTTCTTACTTTTATGTAGCTGACGGAGAATTTTTACTTTACACGACACTGTTCAACACTTCATTCTGCTTCACTCTTTAACTAAACAACCGCGGATGTCTTGAAAGACTCTTTCGCTAAAGATTTTTGAAGACATCCGCGTTCTTGTGACTCGTAAATACTACGCTTCCTATGTTTTGGTGCGGACTGCGTTCACACCAGCAATGAACCGCTCCAGAGTTCACAAGCAAGCGCTCCGAGACCACCTATTTTAGTGGACCAGAGTCCGGTTGTTTAGTTCACTTAAGAGGTCTCGGATTGTGTTCACACCGACCCAAATGAACCGCACCAAGCGGCTAAACGCACCAGGGTTCGATTCAACCGGACTATACAAGGCAGGTGTGAACGCACCCGTATAAATCCTGGGACCCTGTGTATGTTATTTGATGGCAACAATTCACATTCGCTGCTCAAGACATGGTTTGGGCCAGAAGAAATGTTGTTGGCCAGCTCTAATATGTAGCTATGGCAGGCTGATTCATTCATTCGAGTTACTTGTTTTGGTGGAGCAGCTTTCACTTAAAAGACAAACACTTGTATCTTGTAAAAGCACTTTGAATTGCCTTGTGTTGAAAAGTGCTATATAAATAAACTTGCCTTGCCTTGCCTATCATGTGTTATTGCAATACTGTAGAATGCTTATAATCACAGGTGTAAAAAACAATAAGGATTTGTCTACTCGCCCCAAAGGACCTAAGGCGGCGGAGAAAATAAAATCGTTGTTTTGTCCTTTTAGAGATATATTCAATGTGCTTTTCCCTGGATAGCAGATGGTCTATCATTATACCAAAGTACTGGATTTGTTCAGTATGGATGACAATAGGCACTCTGTATGGATGCATAAGTTTCTTTAGTCAAAGGAATTTGCACTGGTTTTAACACTATGTTGTAGTAAATGTGTGGTTGTAGGTTGGCTGAAATAAAAAAAACGACTAAATGATATGTTGAACCGTGCCCCTGAAATGATGTTTGCTTACAAATCTGCAAGTGTGCCATTATTTCCCCTTTGTTTGTTTGTGAGCTTATCTTCCCTTGGTAGGAGCTGCTGTTTCTCACTGTGTAATGGCCTCATTAAGTATGCACACGTTGTTGAGGAGACTCATGACAATGTGCCTGATGAGATAATTAATTTTGACACCAGAGGGGAGTTCCCAGTGCCTCTCCTCTGAGTCGTCTTCCTCCAGCTTCATGTTGCTTCCAGAGCTGCTGCTGTTCCTCCTGTCTGCTCTGAATGATGATTTTGTCTCTAAATGTCTCTCTTTTCTGCTCTTATTTTCCCTCCATATCTTCTTACATTATTTCTGCTTTTCTGTTATTCTTCTCACATCTCCTCTTTTCATTCTTGGTCACTCATGTTCCTTCCTCAATCTCTCCTTCTGCCTTTCTCTGCCGTAGATCATTCTGGTGTAGTGGCTTCAGGTCAACCTTTAGTCAATGCCATCAGGACTGACTCGGCTCTAATTGGAGGTACTGAACCTGTTTTTTATTGGACTTCTTTTAACTGTGAGAGTCAAAGATTACACTCAATATTTCATTGATGAGCGATACCCTGCTGAAAGCCTGCAAATGTGACAATATGGGTAAAGAAAATCCATCAAAAAGAAAAAAGTTTAGATTATATTTCTGGCCAGACAGATTTATTTAAAGCGAAGATTGATTGGTTTCTATAAGCGTGAAAAAGTCATTTAAAAGTGTCCGTTAAATCTCTGTATTTCTGTGTCTCAGCGCACAAAAGACTAATTAAAGATCCACTGAAAATTACATGCTGATGGAGAAAAGTTCACACAGTTATCTCAAAACGCAGTGCGAAATAGAGTTCAGTTTTATTTCAGGACCGCAATTAAATGAAACTTTCTCTGGAAAACGAAATGTGCAGAACAGAAGAGTCCAGCTGAGTCCGAAAATATGAAAAACCTGTTCACAGTGTGTGGAAGTCAGATTAGGAGAACAAATCAGACTGCAGGGGGACAGATCTTACAAACCCAGAGGAGGCAGGGATGTGCAGAAATCCTCTCTCGGTGGTTTCACAAAAAGCTCTGCGACCAAAGTCCACTGTGATGGATTTATTCCTCAGAAACTCAGCGAGACAGTCAGCGAGACAGACAGTCAGCTAGACAGTCAGAGTGACAGTCAGCGAGCGAGACAGTCAGAGAGACAGTCAGCGAGACAGTCAGAGAGACAGTCAGAGAGACAGTCAGAGAGACATTCAGCGAGCGAGACAGTCAGCGAGAGAGACAGTCAGCGAGAGAGACAGTCAGCGAGCGAGACAGTCAGCGAGCGAGACAGTCAGCGAGACAGTCAGCGAGACAGTCAGCGAGCGAGACAGTCAGCGAGACAGTCAGCGAGACAGTCAGCGAGACATTCAGCGAGCGAGACAGTCAGTGAGACAGTCAGAGAGACAGTCAGAGTGAGACAGTCAGAGAGACAGTCAGCGAGACAGTCAGCGAGACAGTCAGCGAGACAGTCAGCGAGACAGTCAGAGAGACAGTCAGAGAGACAGTCAGAGAGACAGTCAGAGAGAGACAGTCAGAGAGACAGTCAGAGAGACAGTCAGAGAGACAGTCAGAGAGACAGTCAGAGAGACAGTCAGCGAGACAGTCAGAGAGACAGTCAGAGAGAGACAGTCAGAGAGACAGTCAGAGAGACAGTCAGAGAGACAGTCAGCGAGACAGTCAGAGAGACAGTCTGAGAGACAGTCTGAGAGACAGTCAGAGAGACAGTCTGAGAGACAGTCAGAGAGAGACAGTCAGAGAGAGACAGTCAGAGAGAGACAGTCAGAGAGACAGTCTGAGAGACAGTCAGGGAGACAGTCAGCGTGCAGCGCGGCTTTCAGAGAGAGGAGCACACATCAAAATGTTGGGTTACGATATGGGCTCTACTCAGTCGGTTGCCAGCAAAGAAGTAGTCATTTACCCGTGTAAAAGTAGGAAAAACACAATGTAAAACTTTAACATAGCAAAAAGGTGCTATAATGGCCCAAAATGCCATTAGGAAAAATGCAGTTTGAAAAACACAGCTGAGAGCAGAGTGCTTGTGACATGCGGGGATTATAAAGTTGGCCAAGCGTCGCTGTTAATTGAACGTTTTATCGGCTTATTTTAACATTGTGATCACATGATTCCTTCCAATGTGACGAGGTTAGCTGAGTTAGCTAGCCTCGATAGCAACAAGCACTCAGGCAAGCCCCCAGGATGAAAATATTCTTTGTGTCCAAACGGCGGTACTACAATTTCCGTATCAGTCCGTGACGTCACTGGGCCCAGAAACACTTTTCCCCATTGACTAACATGGGGGAAGAGACGTCTGTAAATCAGCGGATAATTTTTTTTAAACTAAATAAACTACCCAGTATGAACTATTTTATAGCTCTTATTAGAATCATTTGGTCCTTAAAATGCACTAAAAGCCGAATCTAAATGTATTTTCTGTCTCTATTCATTCTACTGAGCCGAAAGTGGGAGCTCGGGGGCGGGGCTTAAGGGGCGCATGCTCTGTGAGCGCACATACGGGTTTCTCTGCTCTGAAAGCCAGGCATGCTGGGTAATCTGTGACGTTTCGCTCTCTCAAAAGTTGGGCCATTTTGTCCTCATGCGCCAATGAGCAGCTCTCATAGGAAAGAACGAAACCCCGCCTCCCACGCTAAGTCCCGCCTATCTACTTCCGACCCATGGGACCTTATTTCGGAACAATTATGTATTGAAGTCAATGGGGAGAGAAAGATTATCTTTCGATCCCGTTTGAATTGTGCCATGAATTACACATATGATGTTTGTCAATCTTAAAAAATTATTTCCAAGTCACAGTTTGTCGTAAAACTGTTGAAATACAAGACTATGGAAAATACGCAACTAGAAAGACTACAAATCCTAGAATCCCGGTCGAGCCAGCATGCGGGGAGTTAGTAGGCTTGTTTGAGACGCGTTGCGGCTCGCCTCGAAAGTAGACGAGAGTAGCCGATCGCAGCCGGGGGAGGTCTCAAAAAGCTCGCCTGAAGTCGGACAGCTCGGAGTCGGCTTCGTCTTCTTCTTCTTCTTCTCTCGGTTTTTTGGCGGATTGCAAACAGCTTGAAGGTGCATACTGCTGCCTCCGGGGTCGGTTTGACTCGGTTTGCATTTATAAAGAATGCACACATGTGTTTAATCGTTAATGTCAGATATGTACTAAGTAAATACATTTGTTCCTGCTCAAGATTAGATTCTACTTTATTGTTATTGCACATATTACAGGTACTGAGACAACGAAATGCAGTTTAGCTTCTAACCAGGTGCAACAAGCAGTAAAGTGAAAAGTAATGTACACAATCTACAGAATAAAATATAGAATGAATTGAATAATGAATAAACAGTGAGGGGTATGAATACACTAGATATACACAGCAGCCTGTGAGCAGTATGAACAGTGTGTATGAATATGCTAAGATATATAAAGTATGAAAACGGTAAGCAGTGCAAGTATAGTATAAAATATATAGATATTAATTTCATGATGATAAACATTGTGGAACAATGATGAAAAATGGGAATGGATGTGGCGACGTAAAACTGACACAAAACAACAACAAACTTTTGCCCAGCCAATTGGAGAGTTTCATCAGCAGCACGTGGTAAAAACCACCAATGAGCGCTCAGCTCGAGATACCAGCGAGACGTTTCCCATCAAGCATTTCGCTTCCGCAGCCCGTGGAGAGCAACTGCGCCGACTCGCCGCGCCTCGCTCTTAAGGCTGCGGGCGTCTTTGTCCCGCGAGATTTCAACGTCTCATGTAGGCGAGCCTCCAGAGCAAGTCGGACAAAATGACTAACCATCATGCAACGCACTAGCAAGACATTGATCGCAACTGCGCAGGTCTTGCTTGTCTCAAACAAGCCTAGTCGCTTCGTAAGAGTCTTACGAACCGACTAACTCCCCTTGTGTGTGTGCACAGCTCTCAACATGCCCAGACTTGTAGTGATTTTCACCTCTTTTAATACTTTCCGCCTCATTCTGAAAGAAAGAGCTGAAATGTTTCAACGTGACGGCCGTCTTGGTGTGTGGTGCGGGACGGGAGATGTAGGTCATTGAGCGGTTTCACACAAAAAATGTGTTACTTCACAGTTTTACGACACATTTTGATTTTTTTGACTTGCAAAATTATCTTTTAAATTGAGAAACATCATGTGTGTAATTCGTGGCACAATTCAAACGGGATCGAAAGATAATCTTTCTCGCTCCATTGACTTCAGTGCATACTTTTTCCGAAATAAGGTCCCATGGAGCTCCCCCGGAAAGGGAGGGACTTCGCCTCTCTATACATCCATGCACTCAGGTCCCAGCTGTGTGCATCACTTTTTAGCGTCCCCATTTTTTTACAGAGTTTAGTTTATGCAGCGCTTTTAGTGATTTAAAATGTTTTCTATATGCTGCACATGTGTTGTGAAGTTGGTGAAGATGCATTGTTTCTGACGCTGCATGTGTGTTCTCCTCATGGAAATGTGTTGTGCTGTTATAGCGCGTTATTATCGTACCTGTCCTCCATCGTACATTACAGGAACATTTCCTGCATTCAAAATATACTTGAAGTTAAGGCAGGGCATTATATCGATATTGTGATATAAGACTATACATCGTAATGTTTTGTATTTTCTGCTTTGAAAGGCTGAATTACAGTAATGTGATGTACTTTTCTGAAATTATAGGACTTGTGCAGTTGTCAAGAAATCTAGCTGTGATTATTATTTATCTTAATTCTCATTGTGTCAATATTTTATGAAAGCATTGTTTTGAGACCCTACCACATTATAGCAATAACGATATTGAGGTATTTGGTAAAAAATAAATATCGTAATATTTGATTATTTTTCACATTGTCCAACCCTACTTGAAGTATCAAAAGTAAAATTATTTAAATTGCCTAATGCATATTAATGAGGGGATACTGTCAGTGTTAGTGTATTATTTGTATTATTATTTTTAATGTATCTATATCCAAGCCGTATTGTAATGTCATCAACAGCGAAGGTGGAGTTCATTTTAAAGCTTTATGTAATATATTTTTAACGAATTAATCTTATTTTATGACCTGATCATATGTTTCAGATCTAAACTCTTCTTTATTTGTATTTAATATGTTGTAATAACATCTAAATACGAGTAAATGTCCTCTTCCCTGCAGGGGTCATAGCGGTGGTGATCTTTGTGATTGTGACCGTGCTGGCGATAACGGCCAGATTCCTCTACCGGAGAAAAGAGACGTACCGGAACCAGGAAGTGAAGGGAGTCAAACAGGAAGACAGCCAGGACTTCCATTTCAACAACCAGACTGACCCCCAGAACGTCTCCTCTGAAAACCCAAAGGAGTATTTCATCTGACCGACGGCCTGATGACCCGGGACTCTGCTCTGTACTCAGAGACACTCAGAGACTCCACTGGAAGGCAGAAAAAAGGAACAGTTCCCACAGATGTTTCTCTCTCTGTACATATTGTAGAGACTGGACTTAATATGTGTTTATACTCTTGTAAATATTCAAAAATCTAAATGTCAAAGTGATGGCTAAGGCCGATTAATGTCCTTTCGAAAAGGTTGCACATGATCGAATATATATATGATTTACAGTATTTAAACCCAACTTTATTTCAGTGAATCAGGGCATCGTGGCTGATGCACGTTTCTATTAGGATAAGAAATGGATGTTAGCTTGATTGGAAATGTTTGACTCGTAATGAGGAAGTTAAGAAGATTGCTTCTGTGGTTTTAATGTCTTTTTGTGGTGCATCAGGAGCGAAATGGCATGCCTGCAAACATCCACCAAACACCGGGACGTTTTTTGATGATTTTTGAACCCAATTCAGCGCCTGAATTAAAAAAGATTTTCCTCCAGCAACATCTTGCTATCATTACATTTAGCTGACGCTTTTATCCAAAGCGACTTACAATAAGTGCGTTCGACCAACAAAATACAAACTTGAAGAAAACAGAATCATATAAGTACATCAGGCTTCATAGAGCAAAAACATTTCAAGTGCTACTCAACTGGCTTTAGATAAGCCAGTCCTTTATTAGTATATAAGTGCTTTGTTAATAGTTCCATCGCTCGAAGTGGAGTCGAAAGAGATGAGTTTTCAGTCTGCGCCGGAAGATGTGTAAGCTATCTGCTGTCCTGATGTCAATGGGGAGCTCATTCCACCATTTTGGAGCCAGGATAGCAAACCCACATGTTTTTCCTGATGGGAACTTGGGTCCCCCTCACAGTGCGGGTGCAGCAAGTCGTTTGGCTGATGCAGAGCGTAGTGCACGCGCTGGGGTGTACGGTTTAACCATGTCCTGGATGTAGGAAGGGCCAGATCCATTCGCAGCATGGTACGCAAGTACCATTGTCTTGAAGTGGATTCTAGCAGTTACCGGAAGCCAGTGAAGGGAGCGGAGGAACGGAGTGGTGTGGGAGAATGTAGGAAGGTTGAAGACCAAACGAGCCGCTGCATTCTGGATGAGCTGCAGAGGTCGGATGGCACATGCAGGTAGACCAGCCAGGAGGGAGTTGCAGTAGTCTAGGCGTGATCACAGATCTTTGGTGTTAACAAGTGACGCCTTCAAAGTCAAAATGGCACTCTGCAGTCTGGCAGCGAGAGATTTGAAGACCTTTTAAGCAGGAGGAATTATTTTCCATTTATGTTTTCACTCTTTCTCTTTCTCATTTTCTTTCCCTTTTAACACCATTTCTCATTGAAAAAAACAGCATGGAAGAGAGGTACACCCATAATTAATTGCAGTTGTACAGGTTGTTTTAAAGTGTTCTCTTCCTTGCTGTGTGCCGCCTGCTGGGAGCGTCCTCTCCCCGCTCTCTAGATGCCTCTGAAGCTTTTAATGCTGACAGACTCTATAGCTCTGTGGCCCTCTGTCACCTCTTTCCCTGCACACAGAGACAGCTCATGTGTTTCTGAAATGCTAATTTGCTGCGCTCTGACAGCTGGATTGTGACTAGATAATCCAATAGAAAGTGTCAGGCTGAACACGATGAAAACAGCCTGATATTTACACTTCAAAATGGAGCAAACCCCCCCATGTGTTAATTCAACTCATTTGTAAAGAGAGACACTGATAGAGGGAGGAAGAGGAGCAGCTGCTCATCAAACTCACCTCTCTCTGAGACCTCAAAGCACAGATGGGATTTTAACGACAGAAGTTGCCCAAACTTCAAAGTGCATTTATTAATCTCTTTGTGTTTCTCGTTTGTTCCACCTCACAACAGCTGAGGCCACACATTGTTGTCTTGATCCCAGAGAGTCCTGGTGAGGAAGCAGCGATGTCCTTCCTCCTGCAGCAGCACACTGCACTGCAGCAATTTAGAGAGGAGAGGAAGTCCACAGGTAACCTTGACACTGAGATAATCCTGCACACTGAGCACCTGGAGCGCACTGCAACAGAAACACAGCACAGATAAAGAGTTCATTAAGATCCAAGGTGGAAAATGTAGACTTTTAAGACAGAATTAACTGAGTACAACTTTAGAGTGATGTGTGCAAACAAGAAAATAAACATGTTTCCCCTATACACTGTGAACTATCAAAAAAACTAACGGCACCAAAACATTAAATTCACAGTCAGATTTATACATTAAACCCTCCTTATTAGCTCATGCATCTCAGCATTTTAGATACCTCAATTTTAAAAGATAAAGACACGGTCACACTTCATAAGGAATGCAACAAAATTCCTCCAGATGTTTTTGATTAAATATTTTTGCTTCGGAGGCTTGGTGACATTAGGACTAATCACTAATCACATACTGTAATTGATAAGCTAAACGCTAACTCACTAGCCACCTGCCAGAGCTTCTCTCCATTTCTATACTCTCCGTCATTTCATCCCCTTTTCATTTTGTTCTCCTGATCATACAACATTTAATAATAATAGTAGTTGACATGGGAAACTGTCATCTAAAAAGCTGTTTTTCTAAATGAACTCCTGTCTCATAAGTCTGTAAACCATTTATCTTTGGAGCAGTTTCAGCCACGGTTCAATCAAACTGGAGGGAAACAGAGATAAGAAAGGACAGCTTTTATCCATTTGAGATTCCCCAACTCTCCCTCCGAGCTGCTGCTGGTCAGCAAAGCAAACATGTCAAAGTCCATCAAAGTGAACTCTATGCTAATGGCTCATTATTACATGGTTTAGTTGAATACTCGATTCTGATTGGTCAATTCAGAACACGTGACACGTTGTTAATCCAGAACAGACAGACCGCTGTCAAGGATTTATTGACCGTTGTTAGGGACGCTCACATCTGCACAAAGAAGTCCGTTCGATTTAACTGTATACAGTTTTCTAACTGACAAGACAAGAGCGACGAGAAAACAGCGGAGAAGTAACGGGCAGAAACCCTCCTTTTTACGCAGCGGTCCAGACATAGACATCAGACGGCGACACATATTCAGTTGGCAGTTCCTTTGGCATTAGGGCAGGGATATCTAGATACTTCCCAAGGTTTGACATCATGAATTGTGCTACTTTTAAAGCAAGCAACGATGTTTTCAAATCTGTAATCAAAAAGCTCCTCAAAAACGCTATCGAAGCAGTTCCTCCGTTGCTACGTTAGTTCAAACAGTAACAACGGACTATTTCTCTTAGCGGATGCATGTCAATTTAAATCAATACATACAACTATTTTTTAAATCAATAAAATCATTTTCTAAATCCATAAAAGCATTTCAATTAATATTGGGAGTCATGTCGTTACTTTGTTGAGAATGTGGCCATGTAATAAGCGGGATAATTATCCCTTACTTATTACACGCTTTTATCCAAAGCGACTTACATACTCAACACTGCAATCCCCACAGGAGCACTTTGGGGTGAAGTGTCTCAGGGACACAACGACATGCTGACTGCAGTGGGGTTTGAACCTGTGCTCCTGATCCGAACACCAACGCACTACCCACTGCGCCACAGCCTCCCGAAAAGCAGTTAACTTCCACAATATTAGTGAATCCTCCAGACCTGGTCCTTTCACAGGGGATGAATTCATTTTGCCTTGAATTTTTGAGTCGATGAGACGACATTTCATTACCGTCCTCAAATCCAACAAAAAGAAATAACAATGAATTGCCCATTCTAACAAATAGTATCTCTGCGTCCAACACTTCATGTACCTTAATGATCTGTGCCATGAAGCTCAAGTATTGTATATAAACTATTTGTAGTTCCTTTATTGACACGAACAGGCTTCAGTTTGATTTGCATCCTGCTGCTTTAAACACAACGTGGAGATACATTCATTCCTGAACAGTGTACATCTGTTGGAGTAACGTTTGCTTAAAACAACTGTGATTTTGGGGGGAAATAAGTGAGATTTCCTTTAAATTAGAATATATATTTGTGACTTTCTTTATATCTAAAGTATTTGGGTTCAAGGCAACAAAGAGGGAAGTTGTATTTGGTCTTTTCATGAGATTGTATGACTACAGAATAACAGCCTAACCTTGTGTTGTTTTTTCAGTGCCTCCTCTCTCACAGTGCGCTGGTTGACGTGTGTTCAGTGTAACTGTAGCGTTGGTGAATAACAGTGATGTTGTGCCATTTAAATATCCAGATCTCACCCACTCTCTGACTGTTTCAACAAAATCCTGTTTGATGAAAATAAATAAACGATGCTTTTCTAAAAGAGAACTGCAGGTTGTTGTGCTTTGCAGAGGAATCACACGTTCATTGTGCCTGTGATCCAGCTTGTGTTTACATCGACGTGCCAAGGATGCAGAGATGACGTGCCAGCAGCCGAGTGAAAAGAAATCCCCCGTGTTTTGTTATTCTTTTCATCCCTTTTGTTTCTTTGTGAAATGAAGATGACACATATCAACCAGGACAATTTAGATACGTTTACGTCTTTTATATGAGCTCCTTTCAAATCCACAGTGTGGGAGGATACACATCCGTCAGCGCTGACATCTCTGATGGCTGTTAGCATGTATAGCTGCGAGGCTGCAGGAGCACATAAGTGACTCTCTGTGAAAAGACACTTAGCCTTTTCTGCCCGTTTAAACACTCAATACGCCCCGAGGTGATTCAACGGATTCCTGTTTGATTATTTTCTGTGATCACAGACGAGATGTGAAACTGACATCTTCAGCACGATCAGAAACTCAGTGAAGAAGGACCAACTAAAGGGGGATATTCAGTCTCATCAGAGTACAGTTAATGCGGTTGAGCAGGATGATAAATGCCACTGGGACTCGCTCCCTTTTAGAAAACTCAAATATATCCTTCTAGGTTAACGCCTGAAAAACCTTTGATGTGCTGAAGCCACACATTTCCTCTGCTTTGCTATTGCTGCAGCTCACAGGATTATATGCAGCTCACTACTTTGTGTTTCTATCTTGAGTCACAGCGTGGTGGAAGCTGCAGTAAACATGACGCTGCACCTTTTTAAACTACATTGAAGTGTTAAAATGTGCAGCCAGGGCTCCTCTCTATTTCATGCTGCTTGACAGTGGCATTCAAAAAACATTTTCGCTTTGCGACGACTTTTAAATCCAGAAGTCTTTGTACTGATGTAAATGATTGTAGTTATTTTGGATAGTGTTCTGCTAACAGGAAACGTTTCCATGCAGATATTTATTTATGTTCATCTCTTTTTATCCCATGTGCCAGTTGTGTTTTTAGTGATCAGCTTATCACTTATAATGCATGCACATTCATATGCCTATAGTGTGGTTGAGCCACGTTCACCTACTTAGTTTAACATGCTAACATTTGCTAATTAGCGCTACACACATGTTGCACCTGGTTAAGCTAGGCAGGCAGCAGTTTACTACAGAAGCATTTTTTGTTATTTTTGTTTCAGTTCTCTTAAAATCCCGACAGCAATCAATACATCGAATGCTCTGAACAAAAAACTAAAATAAATGGTTGCTTTTGCAGCACTGCAAATATCCATTATCCAAATCAAACCTGATTTATTAAGCAGTTTTAATAAACAATAGGTATTACAAAGTGCTTCATTCTGCAGGCACCAACTATTGTATTTTTATTTATTTATTATATATATTTGTTTTCATTCATATAAAAAACGCTTTATTTAAGGCATGTTTATTTGTTTTGTTTTACTCATACTGTAGAGCAGGGGGGT